GCTTTGGAAAACACTTCAGAAAGATGTCTCTGTCCTTTTTGAGGGGCATCAATCATGTCTACCAATTGTCCTATTTGTATGTTTTGAACATCTTTGGCAGCCAACCGCTCTACTTATTTACAATAGTAGTCTGATAGAGGTTGAAGTGTTTCAATTTTTTCCACATATATTCAACTCTAGCTTGCTGACTATGATGACTCAGCACTTTAAAAGATATGCTTGAACTGCTTGATTGACATTTCTGTCTCTGACATACTGGCATTTTATCATGTTCCTTCTAACGCTTAGTGAGCAGCCACTTCATTATTTTTTCAAAGAAAGGAGAAGCAAACTGACAATATTGCGCGGGAAACGTGCCCTACGACAGCCCCGTGTTTTACAACTGAAACAATCATGAATGTTGCTAGGCCTTCGCTGACATGACGATACTTGTCCCATATGACCATCCTAAATTTCTTTACATACATGGTATCCTGTCACAACAGACTCCACAGAGTAGCTTTCTATTCTTATGTGTTTACACATGTAAAATTGACCACACCCTGCAAGTTTAATGGAATAATTAATGACTGGCCACACCATACTGCAATTGGATTGCCCATTTGCAAAAGTTTTAATTCAGAAAATCTATTTTTTTACTTATTCACAAAAGTTTTTAACCTGAAAAATTTTGAGCTATACGGTATATCATACCCGAGGACACCCACGAAAGGTCTATATCTTCTGTAAAACGACCAGTTTTAGTACCATATAGCTTGAAATTTTCGTGGAATGTAAATTTCATGATTTTCGTGGTTATGGGCTTTCCACGAAATTTAAACCCACGAAATCATTGAAGTGCCATCCCCTTACAGGCTATGTAAACTGTCAACCACGAAAATTAAACCACGAATTGCCCCACTAGGAGCAAACCACGAAAATATTGACCCACGAAAATATCAAGCTATACGGTATGTTATAAAATATATATATCATAATAATAACAGCATTTCTGAATGGCAGGTATATAGACAAGAATATAAACCTGACCAAATAAAACTACGATGTCATAATTGTGAGATATATAAATATATAAAGTAATTTTTTGTGAAAAGAATAGGATTTTGTTATTCTGATGAAACTTTCGTGCAAATAGTATAAAATTTTGTACCACAGGTTGACCAAAACTTGGTTTAAAAAAGAAAAATTCTAAGACTAGTTAACCCATATATGGTGCAGTAATTAAATTTTTAAATTTGTGAACCGAAATTCGGTGTAAAATAACAGACGTTAAAGTCTGAAATGACCAAAATTGGGTGCAAAAAAAGCCAGTCCTGCATTTCTAGTACTGTAGTGTTTGATGATGGTCATACATTAAGTCATGATAGTATAATAATATAACTAGTTATGATCAATTTGCAACGAATATAAAGGCAGATGTGTTTGGTAATTTAGTTTGTTCACAATTACTCTTTGTACTTTTGTTAGTGATACCCTTTGTGAAAGTTAGCATTGTTTGCCTGTGATGTTTTTGTTTATTAACTATGCTTTAAAAGGTAAATACTGCTGGATATATTTCATGATTCAGCAATAAGGTGTAATGTAATACTTTCATAGCATGGTGATTGCCTATATAAGGTTACTATTGTCTAATTAGGATGGTAGTAACTAAGTTAGTTTCTATGATCAGAATCATCCTGTAACATTGTTTTGTTGTAGTTTCGTGATGAGTAGTTCTATCACACTGGAGGAGGCCCCAGTTTCTAGCTGCATCAGTTTCTCATTGTAATAGTCTTGGCAATAGAATATGTAGGTTAATACATGTAGAATGTTTTGAGATGCCATATTATTGTGTTATAGATTATATGATATATGATCGAAGGCTATAATTGGAGTTTAAGCCAGAGAGTGAAACAAGGTTAACTAGAAGGCTGTACTCTTGTAGTTAATATTAATAGGTTACTTAATGGCTAGTTATCATCACTAGTGGGAAGGCAACAAGCAGCAACAGCTTAAGAGATTCACTTAGTCTTTTTCTTTGCTGCTTTTCCTTTTGAATTTCTCATTGGTTTGTATGGAAGCTGAAAGCGACAGGCACGTTCTCGTTCACGTTCAGGCACGCACGTTAAAGACTCTGGGTGTGGACATAGTCCAACTTGTGCCACGCCCTATACTTTCCAGGATCACGTTTTAATCATGTGATCTTGTTTTGCACGTGGCTAGCTTAAATGAAATCAATTGAGAAGTGAGGATAGTTGAAAAACCGTGAAAAATTCAATAACTTGGAAAGTCATGAGTGGAACCTCCAGTGGATTGAGTGGAACTATTGAGAAGCCATTTTTATCTTTATTGAAGAGCTATAAAGTCTCCTCTGCAACGTGACGTTCTGCAGGAGGAGCAAATACTTTCCCTGGAAACTTTTATTTCGTTAGAGGAGGAACATTTTTCTTTACTTGCCAAGAAGTTGAGAGTTGGGCAGCATGCTATTTTGCGACGTTTGTGGTGCCATAAGAAACCTTTTGTAAGCTGGGTTATTTTTTAATTATTACAATGCCATTTTATTTTATTTTTAGTCTTGCACTGACCCACCTCTTGGCTCTCCTTCCTCTCTTTCATCATCATCAAGTGGACGTTGGCAGAGATCACTGTCCCCGGCTCCTATAAATGTACCAGGTAATCTTAGTTAATTATTAAAAATTAATGGGTGCAGTCTAAAAATGGCTGGCTTACAATAACCAAGGGCATGCCAGAATCATCATATCCTACTCCTATACTCAATTGTCAATGTACAAAATAGTGAAACATTGGCCACACCTACATGTATATGTACCTTTGTACATAATATACATAGCCAGATAAAGCACACTAGATTTTAATTGATTGGTATATTTATATTAGATGACTCACTTCAGGAAAGTATAACGGAATTGGCTGATATGTATAAACAGCGCCAATCACAATCAGTAAATAGTGAGACCAAAGGCCAAAGGATGATGGGAGATCCAAGAAGAATGACG